TTACCATAAGCATTTTTTGATAATTGCTCAATAACTCCCGAGTTTTTAGGTTAAATGACTCAGGGTCACTTACATTCCTCAAGTTCCACATGTAAAACCTGTTTTGCTCATCAATTTTTCCGAAGAAGTCATTGTTTGAGTATTTAAGGAGACAATTATCGTACCAAATGATTGCACTTTTGTTGTCGGGGCAGCGTTTTCGGGTTTCGCTGCCCGCCTCAGCAACACAGGCCTTGCATTTGTGCTTGAAACGTCGCCTCGACATAGAGAGATCCCGTAGACCTGGTCATGGTACTGTCCAACGGAGTCGAGACCGAACCCGGTCAGAGGAGTTTTGAAGTAGAGATCACCAATGAGTTTGTTTAGGTTTGTTTCGTAAGAGCTTTTTGCTGTGAAATTCTCAGAGGTTGAACAGAAATGGAAGAGGGGATCAACTCCCATGGCAATTTGGAACAGGAGAGCCAAGAGAAACACATAGATAGAAGAGGTAAAACTTGGAGAAGACATGATGGAAGGGGAGAGAGAGATATGTGGGGATAATTAATCTTGGAGCAAAACCCATTTATATACAGCAAAGTCACATAGCACTGGTCAGAAGGAAGGTCACAGCTGACTTTTTCTTTTGGGTTTGCATGCAGTTTGACCTAAGTTTTTAGAAGTTTCCAACTTCGGATTAAGTTGAGAATATTCATGGATGGGTCAGTTGGAGGTGCACTTCGTTTACTTTTCATATATACGGTAGCGGAAGAAATATTAAAAAGAGAAAATTGTATGTAAAGATATACATATATGGGGTAGAATGCACCTACACCTAGTGGAAGAATAACCAAATGGAAGACTTGTTATTCCCTTACCACTCAAGAACTTTTTGCAAAATTATCATTTTTCAATCCATTCTATTTTCAAATGCCCATCATATAACTAAGTGGGAGGGACAAATTAATGCAAATTGATAATCTTTTTTTTTGTTTAGCGGTCAAGGGCGTTCAGATCAGCTTATATGCACTTTAATTAATTCTGTCGTTTATCCAATTAAAAACAGATCATCTACACCGTAGTAGGATATTCGTGAGTGTTAAATCACTCATGACGTTTTCACAAGTGAATGTCAAGATTTAACTTCAGAACACTTGAATTTATAATTTATTTTTATTATTACTTGAACTACATATTAGATTCAAATTGTTAAATTCTTGGGATGTGCACAACTTCATAAGCCCAATTTGACATGGGAATAAGCTTCACTCCATCATCTCTTACCCTACAACCAGTATCATCTCTTACCCTACAACCAGTATCAAACATGAGATATTAATTTTTTTTCGTCGGTAGAAATGATTTTATTTAAAACAAATTACATAAAAAATAAATTCATTACTTGTCCGAAAGGGGCTATACTTGCAAAAGATATACTAAGGCAACAACCTACCTTCTCTCTCTCTCTCTCTCTCTCTCCCTGATGAATTTTCTAGTAGCGTAAAAAGTTGACCAGCACTACAACTCAACAATTCAGTGAATTAACCATTGGGCAAACATGCGTAATTGCTTTTCTTCAGTCTTGTGTGGGTGTGATAATTACCTATAACGTTGACTTTTTAATACTATTTCTATATATTAATATACTAACGACACTGTGTAATACACAGAACTTAGACCTTATTTTTTTTTTTCATCCCTGTGCTCCCGGTATTCCATCACAATTGCTGTGATTTCATCGGTGAAGACCTATCAACATATCTCTCTCCCTCCTTTTTGATAGGCACAAAAATAAAAAATGACATCTATCCCACATTGTGCGAGTACTAATCTGATTAAAAAAAGATGAAAATAATCTAATATTAAGTGCAACATGGAAAGATTTGAGTGAAGAATGCTAAATGTTTTTAATTACATAACTCAAAAATCTTAGAATTGATTAATTACAGAGGGAATGCTTCATTAACTCTCTTTCCACAATTTGTGTATGTAGTTTTTTTTTTTAAAAAAAAAAAATTGAAAAAGCTAGGGGATCAGTCGCCGTAGTTGACCCGCCCATTATATGCAAAACCAGATTTGAATGTTGAATATGGTGGTTATGTAGATAATGCTTCTAGAGAAGAGTACCAGCTAGATCACAATACAGATGACACAAGTGTGTTGATTTCGGCCATAACTAGTATTACCATTATAATGAAAACGGTAAGGAGACGTAGCTTCATTTCTTTTGAAAAATATTAATATATTGTTCATAACTTGTACCTAAAAATATAATAAAACATAAAATTTGAGAGCCTAAAAAATCGATTCAACTATTTTAAATAATATTTTTTCCCTTAATTTCTTTGACTACATCTGATGGTACACAAATTAAGTTTATACACCATCTGTTAGATAAACAGTAATAAATGCAATAATTAAGAGAGACATAAGTAAGACAAGGTTTATAGTAGTTTGGTCAACATGATTTACGTCCACTTTGAATGGCTAGGGTCGCCAGATATTTTATTACTTCAAGTGTATAGCAAGAGTAGAGAGTTACAAGTCTTGAGAGAAAGAGAAGAGTTGTGCTCGACTGAGTGTGATCTGTTCCCCAAGTATTGATAGGACTTACAATTTATAGTCGTCTCTTAACAGATTGGGGCGACTTAATAGTAACTAAGTGACTATTCTGGTGAAGCTGACGATCTCTTCTCAGAGGGCAAGGGAGTTATGGTGCTCTTCACGAGATTCGGTCAAAGGATAAGATGAGTGTTCACTTTTTCCAAGGCGGCGAGGATGAGGCTCTTGGATGACTCTTGCATACTCCCTTGCTGATGTAGTTTCTCGAACTTGATGAGCTTGACCGAGCATGGACCACTGGATTTCTTGTAGTTGGACTCTTAATTTAAACTGGGCTTACATCGTGGGCTAAGCCCTTGGACTTGACCCATCATTTACCCTCCAATACCCTGTGTCTAATGGAACTTGGAGAGGAAGGCACTCAGTTGAATTTGAATTTCGGTTGAATGCACAATTAGAAAAACTTTGAAAGGCCAAAACATATGTTTCTAAGCCTCGCTTAGAGTTTCGATTTGATATATTATTAGCTCCATTTGAAGTAACAAAGCAAAATTTACTGTCAAAATAATGAGCAGGCAGCTGGTCGCTTGATTCTGGGCAAGCAGACACTATTCTGGGCGAGCAGGTAGCTTGACGCGCTATTCTAGGCATCGATCTGAGCGAGTAGGTGGTTCTAGGTGCCGATCTGGGGGATCAAGCAACTGGGTGCGCTATCCTAGGCACCAATCTAGGTGTGCAAGTGATTTTAGGTGCCGATCTGGGCGATCAAGCAGCTGGGTGTGCGATCCTAGGCATCAATCTAGGTGTGTAGGCAGTTGGGTGTCCGATTCTAGATGGGTACGCCTCGGGCCGAGGGTGAGGTGCCTTGTACGCTACTCAACGTGGCAATGAAGTGTCACTAGGGGCTCATGGGCCAGCCAAGCACGGAGTGGGCATTGAGATAGAGGGTGTCGATGGTGTTGGGCGCTACTAGAGGGGCGTCCATGGTGCTAGAAGGGCGCTCATAGCGCTGTGCACAGTTGGAGAGGCACCTAAGGTGCTAGGCGCCTTTGGAGAGGTGATGGGTGCTGCTTGTGAAGCAGGACTGGGACTCCAGACACTTGTCAAGGATTGGTGAGTGCTAATATGGCCCTAAGAGACACTCGGCTTGGCCAGGCAAATATGTAGGCAGTGCTAGATGAATGAGGTCGATTTGTTGACATTCAATCTAATGTAGTCTCGCGGGTTGCAGACTGCCTGAATTTCAAAAACATGATTAGAGATGACAGATTCTAACATTAAAATATCTAACATGATTACTTAGAGAGAGAAGCAGATTGCTTGTGTGAGAGCAGGGGGAGAATTTGAGGATTGCTCGTGAGAGAGTTGCACCTTTTGAGACCAAACTTTTTGCGACCCGCGAGAGAGCCGCTAAGCTTGAGATAGGCTGCCTACTTAAGAGCAGAGTAGAGGCCAAGTTTTTGGCGACTTGTGGGAGAGCCGTTAAGTTAGAGACAGACTGCCTGTTTCAAAGCAGAGCAGAGATAGGCCAGACTTTTGGCGACCAACGAGAAAGCTGCTAAACTGGAGACAAGCTGCTTATTCTCAAGCAGAGCAGAGATAGGTCAAACTTTTTTAGTGACCCATAAAAGAGCCGCTAAGTTGGAGATAGACTGTTTGCTTAAGAGCAGAGTAGAGATAGACCAAGCTTTTTTGGCGACCTGCGAGAGAACTGCTAAGTTGGAGATAAGCTATCTGTTTGAGAGCAGAGTAGAGGTCAAGCTTTTGGCGACCCGCGGAAGAGTCACAAAGTTGAAGATAGGCTACCTATTTTAGAACAGAGCAGAGATAAGCCAGACTTTTGGCGACCCGCGAGAGAGCCGCTAAACTGGAGATAGGCTGACTACTTGAGAGTAGAGCAAAGATAGGCCAAGCTTTTTTGATAACCCGCAAGAGAGCCGCTAAGTTGGAGATAAGTTGTCTGCTTGGGAGCAGAGCAAAGATAGACCAAGTTTTTTTGGTGACCTGCAAGAGAGTCGCTAAGCTGGAGATAGGTTGTCTACTTGAAAGCAGAGCAGAGATTGGTTAAGCTTTTGGCGATCCGTGAGATGATTTGATTTGCCTTGACCTGTTGATTTCCTCAGTATTCATATATTTTTGAGTTTTTGCCAATAGTTCTGGCATGCTCTTTGACGGCGCTTCATTATTGAAAAGAGAAAACTCGATGAGTGAAGGCCTCCCAAAAAGGCGGTCATGGTGACTTTGTTATTGGGCTCCTCGATTTGAAGGACCTCCTCGTTAAAAAGAATGAGGTAACTCTTCAGACTCTTGTCTCGATCCTGTTTTATGCTGAGTAGATAAGGGGCAGACTTCTGCTGGCGATGTCCACCAATGAAATGTGCCACAAAGGATCTGCTCAATTTGGCGAAGGAGCCTATGGAGGCTGGGGTGAGTTTGGCGAACCATTGTCGCACTGATCCCTTCAAGGTAGTTCAAAATGCCCTACACATAATTTCATCAGGGACGTTGTGTAGCTGCATTAAGGTTTTGTAGGTTTTGAGATGATCAAGTGGGTTCTTTTTACTGTCGAAAGTTTCTAAAGATGACATTTTAAACTTTTGGAAAAGTAGATAGTTCGCCACATCTGGTACGAAGGGTGTGTCAGTTCGCCTTACGAGGAAATCAACGGTTTCGAGTCCTTGTGCCTTCATGGCATTGAAGACGTCACCTAGCTGATTCTGCACTTTTTTTATATTTTCATTCCAGTGGTTTGGGAACTCCTTTGTAATTGTCATAGAAATGGCTCTCATGCTTCACGTTTTGATTTTTTCCCTCATTCTCTTGAAAATATGAGTCTCTACCATGAGAAGAAGGAGCTCGAGAACGAGTTGGAGGTCCCTCATGGTGGGCTCCCCTGTGTGGGGCACCCAAGGGGGCGCCCAAGTGGCGAGCTCCTTGACGCCCAGAACGTGGAGCTCCTCTAGCTTGAG